GTGGCCTTTTTCAAAGAGTGTTTTAAATGAGCTTTTTCTAAAAAAAAAACAGTAAGTAGATAAACAAACGGCACTCTCCCAGCTAAAGATAGTCAACAGACTTGGTGAAGTCTTTGGCTCTCTCCTCTAATCCAACAGGAAGGTTTAATAGGTTACGTTGTCATCAAGAAACAAAAACGGGCCCCAGAGAATATTCTGTTCGTCCCAGGTTTGCCACTGTTCCGTTCTGCTAAAGTCCTCATTGTGTCTCTCAGTACATGGAGGCCCCTGAAATTTCTAGGGGAAGCCCCGACGAAATCAGCACAAATTAAGCAGTGATACCCGGCTGGCGTGGCTCAGTGGTTGAGCATCGATCTATGAACCTGGACGTCAGGGTTCGATTCCCTGATCAGGGCACACGCCTGGGTTGGGGGCTGGATCTCCAGTGTGGGGCGTGCAGGAGGCAGCCGGTCCATGATTCTCTCTCATCATGGATGTTTCTTCCTCTCTCTCTCCCTTCCCCTTCGTAATCAATACAACTATATTTTAAACAAGTAAAATAAAATGTTAATCACATCCCATCCCCACCCTGTTCAGATTCACATGTGAAATAAAAGGCAGATTCCTTAAAAAAAAAAAATAAACTTCCATCTGCTCTAGGGGGCTTGGGTAGAATTGGGGAAGATCAGCTATTGGGAGGCAACCCGCACGACACAGGCCTTGCCGCCTAGATGGTGAATATCCCGACTCAATCATTTTCTCCAGACTGTGGGCATAATTGGACCCAGTGGGGTCCCTCCCTTTGATCAGATCAGAGTCACCATGACTTTTCCCTGGAAAATGTCACTCCTATGAAGGTTTGTCACCTGTAGAGCTGGTCTTTCCGTGGACGCTGTGTTCCTCTCTCATTAGCATTATTCAAAGTTGAGTTGTTAATTAGGTTGACCCTTCCGTGACAACCATCATCGACAAGAGGAGTCAGGACCACTTGCGTCAGGAAATAAAAATATTCCTTCTTGCCTGGCCGGTGTGGTTCAGTGGTTGAGCATCGACCTAGGAACCAGGAGGTCACAGTTTGATTCCAGGTCAGGGCTCGATCCCCAGTGTGGGGCGTGTGCAGGAGGCAGCCGATCCATGATGCTCTCTCATCGTTGTTTCTCTCTCTCTCTCCCTCTCCCTTCCTCTCTGACATCAATAAAAACATATTTAAACGAGACCGGGTATACCATTTGCACAACACAGTTCTCTACTCACCGTAGGTTCTCAATAACTTTACCTTCATTCCCCTTTTTTATGTCATAACTAGAGGCCCGGTGCACGAAATTCTGCCGTGGCAGAATTTGTCCGGAAGGAAGGACGTCTGGTCTAATTAGCATATGGCGCTTTGATTATTATAGATGCTCAGAACTATTCAGCAAGGGATCCGCAAATCCCATATGCAGGCGAGGCTTCCAAAAATAAGATTCAATGGGAAGGGACCCAGGAGGACCTGGAACCAGGAGCCTTTTAGGGCAGAAATGGAGGGTACCCCTCACCAGTGTTCCTCTCCACACGGGCAGACACCTGTTGTAATGGCTAAAAAAATGGGCAAGAAGTGGCTCCCGAGCAGTTTCCTGTAAAACAATTAAAGCTCGTTGGTGTCAAGGGGCCTCGGGAGACAGGAGAAGGGAGAGCGCGGAGCCATTTGCATCAGCACGTGACTCTGGGTCCCAGCTTTCCCCTCAGTTAACGGGCCAGCAGGCGCTCCCCGTAATTCAGGGGAGAAGCTGCCGGGAGGAGGCCGAGCTGGGGAGGGGGGAGTGGGGGGGGACCCGCAGCGCCGGGGTCGTCCTGCCGGTGGGGCCCCGTGCCTCCCCAGACCAGCTCCCGAGGTGTTCATGTAACGCAGCGGTTCTCAACCTGTGGGTCGCGACCCCTGTGGCGGGTGAATGACCCTTTCACAGGGGTCGCCTAAGACCATCCTGCATATCAGATATTTGCATGACGATTCATCACAGTAGCAACACGACAGTGATGAAGTAGCAACGAAAATAATTGTATGGTTGGGTCACCATGTGAGGAACTGTATTGAAAGGGCCAGAAGGCTGAGAACGACTGATGTAATGGCTCCTCTCTGTCCCGCAGGTCTCAGCCCTGAAGACGAAGCTGAAGAAGCAGTCCACGGCCACGGGGGACGGGGTGGCCCGGGCCTTCCTCAGGGCGCAGGCCGCTCTGTTCGGATGCTACCGAGACGCGCTGAGATACAAACCCGTGAGCCTGCCTTGCGTCGTGATTTCAATTTGCATTTGCTTTTCTTTAAAAAAATATATTTTTTTTAATTGATTTCAGAGAGGAAGGGAGAGGGAGAGAGAGAGAAACATCCACGATGAGAGAGAATCATGGATCGGCTACCTCCTGCACGCCCCACACTGGGGATCGAGCCCAAAACCCATGTACCCTACTGGGGATTGAGCCCACAACCTGGGCATGTGCCCTGATCCACGAGAATCGACCCAGTGACTTCTTGGTTCTTGGGTTGTTGCTCAACTGTTGAGCTACACCCAACAGGGCCAAATTAGGCCAGCATCTGCCACCTTGACTGCTGGTCTCTGTGGCTCCACCATTGCCCTCTACGGTCTGCTTTCATAAAGCAATCCAGGGGATGTACTAGTAAGTCAGATCTTACCAGTCTCCTGCTTTGTTCCCTTCCTATCTGCTGCAGTACCAACAATCTTCACAGGCTTGGAGCTTCACTTGTCTGTCCCAGCCTGTATCTCCAGTCTCTCAGCTGTTAGCTGTACCCTGGCTCATTGTATTCCTCCCACACTGGTCTCTTTTTCATTCTATAAACATGGTTAGCCATTGCTACCTAAGGACTTTGCACTAGCTGTCTCCATTCCTGGAATGTACTTCCCCATATCATCTCAGGGTGGGCTTCTTGTCATTCACATCCCCACTTACTCTCACTCAGGCATCTCAAACGCAAAGGCTAACATGGGCCAAATCAACAAGGTTTAAGTGTCCATGGACCGCAAAAAACACACAAAAGCTTCCATGTTCGTAGAAACGTGGGTTTATTTCGATAGAGACGTGCTGAATACAAAGGGCTGAAATAAGTGAGCCATCGCTAACATAAAGTAATAGAACATTCTAGTAAAAATGAATATTTGTTCTTGAACATTAACTTACCGGACACTGAGTAACTATACAAATGAATAGGCATCACGCAAATAAACCTATTTTTCTCGTTCTCTGAAAGCAAAATATTTCCTGTTGCGCACACCACACAAGGCAGTCCAAGCGAATGACGTGGCCATCGGCTGCTAGAATATTCGCTGCTGGTATTCGTGGGGAGAAATGGTGCGCCTGCACGTAAGGCGCGAAAGGGAAATGAATGCAACACGATGATAGTCATCAGTCATTAGCAAATGTTGTAGTTCGTTATGAATAATTATGTATAACAGGATGTTGGAAAAATTAAGTTAGGAAATTTTTATTAAAACGCTTCTTGCATACCGTTATATTGGCTGGGTCGCAAAAATCTTCATTGTGGGCCGTATGCTGCCCACGGGCTGCGAGTTTGACATGCTTGATCTAACTGACTCCTTCCCTCTGACCGTCAGAACCCCACCACTAGAGTCTTATCATTAGAGCAAGTTCCGTCCGACGCAATAGGTTTTTCTTTTATATAGTTACAAAAAGCACCTATTTTTAAAAAATACTTTTATTGATTTCAGAGAGAAAGGGAGAGGGAGAGAGAGAAACATCAATGTTGAGAATCATCATCAATCAGCTGCCTCCTGCACGCCCCCCATTGGGGATCGAGCTCGCAACCCCGGCATGTGCCCTGACCAGGAATCGAACCGTGACCTCCTGGTTCATAGGTTGACGCTCAACCACGGAGCCACACCAGCCGGGCCAGTCTCGGTTCAAAGAGCAGCGAG